TTTTTTTTTTTTGACAGAGTCTCACTCTGTCACCCAGGCTGGAGTGCAGTGGCATAGTCTTGGTTCACTGCACTGCCTTCTGGGTTCAAGCAATTCTTGTGCCTCAGCCTGCCAAGTAGCTGGGATTACAGTTGACTGCCACTACACCTAGCCGGCTAATTTTTGTATTTTAGTAGAGACAGGTTTCACCATGTTGGCTAGGCTGGTCTCAAACTCCTGACCTCAAGTGATCTGCCTGCCTCCCAAAGTGCTGGGATTACAGGCGTGAGCCACCACACCCGCCCCACGTTCCTTTTTTATAGCTGCATAGCAGTCCATTGGTAGATGTACCAGTGGTGATTCAGCCACTCGTATTTGAAGTTTTCCTCAGAAGCCTCTGAAGTCATCATGAGTCTTTCTCCCTCTTTCCTCCCCAGAGTCAAGTGTCTTGAGTACCATAAAAAAGAACTCTCAGTAGTGTTGGTGACCCTTTCTGCCCACTTAGTATCAATCTTCCAGCCCTTTTTTCATCTATTAGGGCCTGATATTTGGCACCTGAATAATTTTAACTCTGTGGTTTAACTCATTTCTGTATATACCTCAAGTTAGTACTGTCCAGTCTAGAGAGAACAGAGCTGTGTTTTTGAGTCCTCTTCCATTTCTAGTTCTTTTTCAAGGATGAATTCATTTTCTTGTTGAGAAAACCTAGGTAAACATCTCTCCTTTCTTTATAGCTGAGCTCCTTGCCAAAAAACAGCCATTAAAAACCAGTGAGGTCTACTCTGATGATGAAGAAGAGGAAGAGGATGACAAATCCAGTGAAAAGTCAGACCGCTCATCTCGAACATCGTCATCTGATGAAGAAGAGGAGTAAGCTCTTGTACATTTTGGTCTAGTAGGCAGGATAGGCGGGTTTTTAAGGAGGAGCTTGATGTAGCTTCAGAATCTCCCTGTGTGGGCCACTAACTTTGACTTGGTTACTTTTGGTTTGCTGAACTGAGTTCCCCAGCACATCAGGCCACTCATTTATTTGGCTGCTAGCCTGCATGCTTGGACATTTCACTTGGGCCTGGAATTTCAGATTGACCTGGAGCTTTCTTTTTTTTTTTTTTTTTTTTTTTTTTTTTTTTT